ACAACCCTGGCCTTGTGACTTTGACATAAATTGTTTCAGAAGCAAAATGAGTAAATGTGCCTTTAAATTCCACGTCGGTTATTGTTGAAGAAAATGTGCTAAAACTAGATCATGTTCAATCATGATAATATTGTGACGGAACACCATGCTCTTTGACACATCCATACAAAGCACAGCAGGAGCTGAAAATAAATATGTGGCTTTAGAATTGAAGTAATTAAATGACTGGATGGGGAGGAGGAAGAAAAATCAGCTCAATTGAAAAAGCGAAAGGGGGCGGGCCGGTCGAGGAGGAAAAGGAGGAGGAGGGGTCATGTTGGTTGTTAATTAATGTTCTAAGAGAGTTCGTTCTTTTTCGTAAAGATTACAAAGTATAAGAGAAGAAGCCGATAAATCCAAGAGCTTGGCAAAAAAGAAACACAATAATGTATTGGCTGATAATCTGGCAAGCTGACGAGGAAATAGAATTAGGGAAGATTAGGGCAACCTGCAAGAACAAAGCTGAAAAATAGCTTGTCAAAGCTTCTTTCGTCAATTGAAAGCATGCCGTAATTAGTTTTCGAGATGTTCACTGTAAATGGTAGATTTGAGAGGGATATTGAAGAGTGCGTGGCTTGTATTATATTTCATGCTTTCCTATCAAAAAGGAAAGAGAAAGAAAAAAAAAAGAAGAGGGTGGAGCTGAAAGCAGAGAGGCTGTAGGGAAGGAGGAGGAGAAGGAGACTGAAGCGGAGGAGGAGGAGGAGGAGGAGGAGAGGAAGAGAAGAAGAAGGAGGAGGAGGAGGAAAAGGAGGGAAGAGGAAGAGGAGAAAGAGTGCTGTGTAATCAGAAGTCATCGTGAACTATCACTTTTAAAACATCATCGTTAAAAGCAGAAAGAAAGAGAACAGAAAAGCAGGAGCTAAAAAACAGAAACTGCACTACAATGATAGTTCTGTACGTTAAGTGTTTAGTTTTAGTAAGAGTTTTACGTCACTTGCAACACAAAAAGTCCATGTTATAAGTGCCGAAGATTAGAGGTGTTACAAGAGAGTAACAAACAGAAAAAGAAGGAGAGATCAGGACGATGGATGTTTGATAGGAAAGAAGGAGCAAACCACACCAGAGTACCCGCCAACCACCCACTAAGTAAAGTGATACACATTACAACAATACCGAAAACAGAAACTATAAAACACGCACACAGAAAGAGAGGTAACAGCAGAAATGGTACATTATTGGATCTATGTTTTAACGTGTTTTAATGCAGCCTATAAACAAACCCACTATCATTAATAGTTTACAACATATACAAAATGTTAAGTATCTATAATTGTTTGGGTTTTCTACCCCTTTGACACAGTTAAAAGATGATAACAACAACAACAACAACAACAACAACAGCAACAACAATATAAATAATAATAATAATAATAA